CCCCCCCTCAATCCCCACCAGTGCGTCGCTGACCCGCCTCGCTCCTGTGGGACGGACCCCACGATTGAGGATTCCTACCGGAAGCAGGAGAACATCAAACACCCAAGCATGCATGCTCGAAGTCCTCGACACTGCCGGCCAGGAAGAATATACCGCCCTCCGAGACCAATGGATCCGAGATGGCGAAGGTTTCGTTCTCGTCTATAGCATTTCGTCACGATCCTCCTTCTCCCGTATCAAGAGGTTCCACCACCAGATCCAGCGGGTAAAGGAGTCCTGCGCCTCTTCACCCTCTTATCCTGGTTCACCCATATCGGCCGTTCACTCCCAAGCGCCTGTACCCATCATGCTCGTCGGCAACAAGAGCGACAGGGTCACGGAGCGCGAGGTGTCCACCCAAGAAGGACATGCACTGGCTCGCGAGCTGGGCTGTGAATTCGTCGAGGCCTCCGCCAAGAACTGTATCAATGTCGAAAAAGCCTTTTACGATGTCGTCAGAATTCTCCGCCGCCAGCGCCAGGCAGCTTCCCGACCACAGCCCAACGGACGCAGCTCGACGCGCGCGCACAACTCCAGCTCGCAAGACTACAACACGAAGGAGAAGAACGACGGCAGCCGAGGAAAGGGCGACAAGAAGAAGATCAAGTGCGTCATTTTATAAAGGCTTGATGCCTCGAACGTGCGATTCTCACGATGCGATTTTATTCATCACGATTTTATGATGCCCCATAGAGCGTTCGGCCTTTCATCCAAATGGCCGGTATTTTTATGACGCACGAGAACCAGTCCTCTTATCCTCCGCAAAGATTTGTTCTGCCACTCGCACTGGGCCACGCATGTCAACTCGAAAAGAAACAGGACGAGTTACAGCCGAGCTGAGTCGATTTCAGTCGAATCGCCACCCCAGATCGAGTAGCTCTTCAACCGGCGAATGGCGCACACAAACACACCAAGAAAGGAGTCATGTCCGTGGCGTTTCTGATTTCAATGCTTGGGCGGCGTGGGAGTTTGATTCTTTCATTCCAACACGTGGACGCCACCTGACGGAGTTCGCGGAGTCCGTGGTTTATTTTTCAAGCAAGCTGACAGACCTGTTCGCCAACGATAAAAATCTATTCTACCTCATATGCTACCAACCTGTCTCATACACATCCTTGCGCAAACTATGCCACATCTCAATTCGGAGACTTTCTTCTTGGATCCCTGGGCAGGACTAGGGTTCTTCGGGCAGGGAGGGGGACGGGAAAGAGGGGAAAGGAAAAGGAGTAGGATAGTGGTGGAAGTAGCGGTCGTCAGTCGATTCACCCAGATGGGGGAAACGCATCTCCGCCGCCAGGAACAGGAACAACCTCGCCGCGGCACAAGCCACGCCGTACAAGGGCGAGACTCATATATCAGCATTTCCAGGGTGGGATGTGTATCTAACTATGTCTTCCGGCACTGGCCGCTCTTCCGTGCATGGCCCGTCTCCGATTCTACGTTTCAACAAGTACCTACTGCTTCCCCAAGTATCTATCTAATCGCTGTCTCGCTCATCTCGCTCCGTCTTACCCCGGACTACACACCCCCCTCGACCGTTCGACCGAGAACAAAGGCAAGGCCAAGTTTGATGGATAGTGCCGATGCGCCGATCGCTCGTTCCTCAACAAGATGGGGTGCCTAAAGAGTCTTGAGCAGGCTCTACGTGTGTCAACGGGACGGATTGTCGGGGCTTTCTGCCTAACAACGTTGACCACCTGTGGGCGGTCCAGGCGGCAGGTTTTCAATTGACGCCTCGTGCGCGGAAACACAACTGGTGGCTCGGAACCGAAACACAGATGACAGATCCCATATTGCCAGGGGTGGGGGACTAGGGGCGGACTTATGAATATGCTGTGTGCCCCATCAACTGACTCAATTGCTCCGAGATGCCAACCAGGGCAACCTCACAAGGCATCAGGGCTGCCCTTTTGTGCCCCTCACCCCTTGGCCCCCTCCCCCTTCCAGCCGGCGGCGTGGTAGAGAGGAGGAGGTTGGGACTCGCGAAGGGTGGATGCATTAGAGGGTATTTGGCACTATCGAGGCTGGGGCGGTGCTTGACGCTACTTGGCTTTCCAGGTGCTCCATTTTGCTTTTCCGCCAACGGCTGCCACTCCTCCTCCTCTCCTGCCAAGCTTGCTGTGGGTTTGGGCATGTACAAGTACCGAGCGTGAGGGCCCCCGACGACGGTTTAGGCCAGGTCGATGGCTTTCCTTAGCCATTGTTCCTTCTCCCTGATTGGCGACCAGCGATATCGTGCGACCGCCGTACGGACCCGTTGAGGCTGGCAGCCGCGCTCCAAGGGGAGGACTGGGGTGGACGGGGGGCGGGGGGTGCAAACGCGAGGTTGAGGCCCAGAGGAATAACGAAGTCTAAACCATCTCATGTCGATCTTGACATGAAAACAGCAATTGTCTCCGGCGCCTCGCGTGGCACGAGGTGCGGCTCGGGGGGTCGATACAGCGTGGATATCAGGATGTCGGGCTCGGCGGTCGGTGGCAAGGCTGAGCGAGAGCCCGTAAACACGGCCGTGGGAGGCAAGCGCTGCAGTATTATGCTTCTTCTCGCGCCTGAGAGTTTCCGAACCGCCCCATTCAGACGGGCGAGTCATCAGATATGCGGCCGGGTTTGCAGCACAGCGCTGCACGGAGACGAGCCATGACCTACAGTACCTTGCCTGAGGTAGCTGCCACGGCACCTGTATTTGGCCTCAAGATTAGGTAGGCTAGTATCAGAGGCGTCTGTGCACTGTCTTTTTATGGAGACGAGGAACTTGGGTGGATGGTCAACCGGCGTCTTTTGCTACGCCTCTACTAACATCGTGATTGCTTGCAACGACGCTACGGAGCCAACCTTGTCCCATGTTGGAGTGCCGTCGAAACCTCATTTCACTGCCTGCAGTCTGTGGCAGTCACGTCTCCTGGTGAGGGGCTCAGAGGCTCCGAGACATTGCGACCGTCCCGAGGGAAAGGACGTTGCCCCCCTCGGCCTAGTCGATTCGCAGCTCTCTCAGCCGAGGCTGGAGTGTTTGAGTTTGCATGATGCCAATGGGGAGGATGGTGAGGACGGATGAGCCTCCGGTCTCCCGGTTTAGCTTCTGTAGACAGCCCACGTCTATCCTACCTTACCTTGGGCAGCTATCAACCTCAGGACTCCTCAGGAGAACATGGACGCGTCCGCCGACGACCGATGAAAGGAACCCCCCTAAGAAAAAAAACCTGATGAAGATCCGCTCCTGTCTGATGCAACCCTTTCGGATTTTCGGACCCCTTCTGATACCTGACAGCGCGGGGTTCAACTCCCAACACACCAGACCAAGACTGACTAGGTATCTAGCTGGGTACCTTGGGATGTTGGTGTCTTCCTTCCTCGCTTTGGGCAGGTGCGAGGGCTTACTTCAGGCACTTGCTAGCTGCATGGCAAAGGCGCCTGTGTTCGGCACCTTGTGTGCTGTGGAGGTCGTCTCACGCCATAGCTACCTACCAGGTATCTATCTGTCAGCTCTCTCCCCCGCCCCCCACGGCCTGGTGTCAACGCTTCTCTAGTCGTCTTCCATGCCGCTCATCACATCCTTCCATCACGTTCCCCACCTTAGCTACATCTCCCTTCTCGCTTCGTCGTTATCGTCTTTCCCAAAGGACGCGAGGCAGGCCGCCTCTTCTTCTCTCGAAGTCGAGCACGCACAGAATTCCTGGGACGCGCCCGTACCGAGCGGAGGAGGCGGATCGTTCCTTCACCTGGCGCCCTCGAGACGAAGATTCCACGGCCCTTCTCCCGTTTCCATGCATGATCAACATGTTTCGCTGGCAATTGAATCTCCGCGCTTTTCCTAGTGTCATCACTTCCGGTACTCGCAGTGTCGATCATCAGTCACCGAGCGCGTGGTTCTCCAACTTTCACCGAGATGATCCTCTACGTACGAACCAAGGCAGGATCTGATCAGAGCATGCTGTCTTGTTTTTTCTATCCTTTAAACCCCCCACGTGCCCGGGAAGTGACCAGAAGCCTGACCCAGACCCAGAAACGGCGGTGGCCGGGGGGGGGGACACCATACCAAGGTGAGGGGCGGGCCATGACTTGGACCTTTGGGGGGAACTCCTCAGGGTCCCTTTGTCTCAACTGGCTGCGTAATGCTTTTGTGCTTTTTGATAGAGGCTTCAGCACCAAGACAGTGGCTTTGGATGTCTGGCGTGGGGGTGAATGGTTCGGTTCTGCAGCGGCTGCTTCGCTGGCTCTCCTCGTCGTTCCGTCATGGTTGATGACACCCTGCTCAAGGCTTGTTGGGGTTGATGGGAGAGGGCTGGGAAGGGAAGGGGAGGCGAGGCAAGACGAAGGGGGGAAGAGACAAGACTCCAAATGTCATCAGTGGCAGCAAGGGTCGGGGAAGACATCCTGAGGAGCTTCCCTTGTCGGCAGACCACGCAAGCACACCACAACCACAACCACGTAGGCGAGCCCACCCCTTGATAGGACGGACCATCTTTGTGTCGACAGAGTCGGACCCCCGGGCCCCTGCTTCATCGATAAAGACGTTCCAGCAGCAGGCACGACAAACACCTAAGACGCACACTCCGGCTGTCTGTCCCTCACTGTCGCCCCCTATATGTGAAGCCTGTTCTTGGTCAAGCGCGGACCGGGAGCGCGACGAACGCCAAGACTACGGGAGCTGCCACCAGCCTTATGCCTCGTGGGTCTCGTCTCTGGGAGGGGCAGTGGGGGGGGGGGGATGAGGGGACTAATGTTACCACAGGACAACGGAGCTTGCCATCGTAGTTTTCACCAGTGAAGCTTCCCACGTCCAAAGTTGCGATTCAGGCTGGCCTGTTCCCTCCCCTGCAGGCCGAGCCGACCGGCATGTCGAAATACTCGTCCCCCTCCCTCACCCCCAAAAAGCCAGAGGACGGCAAGTCTAACATCCTTTTGAGAGGGTTACAGCGACCGAGCAACCACGAGGCGGCCTGCGTTGTGGACCATGTCAAGTCGCATTCGATGGAAAACCACAAGGTGCCTTGTTGCAAGGCGGCTGGCTGGCTCACTTTCAGTCGTCCCCATGCCGCGTTTGCGGAAGTGATAGCTACCTAGCTCGGTACCTGAGCATGCAACGCACGCGGATACCAAGAGGAAAGAGAAACGACGCTGTCCTTGCCCTGTCCCCCTCTCGCCCCTTCTTTCCCCGCCATGTAACACACGCCGTAAACCAGGCCCCAGGCATTCCGCCCACGACGAACAAGCTCGCGACGGCCAATCTATCGGACCGGAAAGGAAATCAAAGGACAGACACCCCTACTGGTGATGCAAACCCCTGGTCCTGGCCTCCATTCCCCCCACGAGAGCCGACGGACGCCACTTGCAAGAAGGACGCCGGGCACGCAAACCCCCCCTCAATTTCAGGTTGTAGCATACATGTATGTACACGATGCCGCGAGACGCAGCGGCGCGGCCTGCGGAACCCCCCCGCCGGCCGGTCCGGACGATCAGACGAGGCCTTCCCCGCGCTAGGTGTTGCGAGGTGAAAGGCCTCGTACTCTCTCGCTTGACGTAACGCACGCATTCGGTATGGGCCTCCTCGACGCGAGCGGACAGCTCCGCATGCAATATTGTCATGTTGTGTGACATGCTGGCTGCAAGCTCAACGAAGCCTGCGCATTCTGGCAGTGCATGGCATGGCTTCGTAGGCCGCGACCAAGTCAAAATTAACGGAGCCAACGTCTCGTCATGGAATCAAGGCATCGCGGGGTAAGAGGTAGAGGCCTCGACTCGAGCTCATCCTGTGTGGGCAAGGGAGGGTCGGGTTTCCGCATACTAGTCGGGCGGGACACAGGCATGGTCAGGGTATCCAGTGTTGACACGAGTAATCACGAATTGTTAGTCTTGGGTCATGCTTCATATTCAGGGGTAGAAGACAAGACTTTTAGCACGTGCCATTGGAA